CAAACCCATCAGGAAGGTCAGCTCCATCACAGCACTGACCCTTAAGGATATCCACTGAAACCAAAAAACCTATAAAAACACTTGAAATTATTTTTAAGAATATGAGAACATATTGCAAAATATATGGTCCCTAAAGTCATGGGCATAATGTCTGGGGGGTTTTGAGAGGGTTGTAACCCTCCAGTAATGAAAACTGACTTATACAACCCCCCCAGTAATCCTCTCTCTTCCTAAATGGGTTGAGATCTCAACCCCCAACCCCCCAATGTTCAAACAAAATTTATGCCCTTGTCTGAAGTGCTTCAGGGAGAAGACGACGCAGAGCTTTTGCTCCGAGTTATGTTAGGACAGAAGCGCAGTGACAGTGAATAGAGGAATGTGACAGGGAAGGGAGGACGAAAGAGGAATTAAATTTCAGGATGGGAGGGTCAAAAATAGCGGGAAGGAACAGCAACAAAAGGAGAGTAGTGGTAACATAAGTATGTAACGGGAATCGGCATGGAGGAGCTGCGAGTGAGGAGGCGGGGCGCGGGCATGCTGACACAGCTGCAGCTGCACTGGGATGAATGCAGGCGCAGCCCCCGGTCAGGTGACAGCCACAATCCAATGGGAGGCGAGCCGCAGGTATGGCGCTCGCTGCATCCCTCTGACTGTACGGGGCTGCCAGCTCTCATGCAAGAAATCTGTATTATTCCATTATAACCCTAAAATTAGCTACAAGCTGCCTTGTGGTAGTTTGCAAACCCTACGGACCATTTTCAAGGTAATAGAACTACGTTGTTAGTCTCCCATGTAAGTAAAATAGGTCTGGGGGGGCGAGGGAGGGTGTGGAGAGCCCGGGGGGGCGGGGGAGGCCGTGGAGAGCCTGGGGGGGCAGCATGGTTTCTTACATGAGAAAAAAATACACAAAAGAACATCACAACAACACAGCAGATGAATGAATGAATAAAGGAGTTAATATTCTAACAGATTAAAATCATTAGGCAACATATTCATACTGCTGTCCGGCCTGATTTATCTGTTAAATTGGGTTAAACTGAGATGTCCAGGCTCTGCCCAGATGAGGTCATCACCGCTGCCCTGCACAGGAAAAAAAAGCTATGGAGATGGATGGATGGATGGATGGATGGATGAGTAGACAGTCACATTAACTGTGGGGCAGAGGGTTTGCCCAGCGAGCTTCAGGCTAAATCGCTGTTCGTTTAGGGAGTAATGAATTCGTTAAAGACTAACAATCTGATGCATCACAGTAAAGCCCCAGTTCTGTAACAGTCGCTGGTGAGTCACTCTGACCCCATTATTGCAACATGCAACATTCACCTTTAAATCTGGGTGTAGCTGGGTGTCACTGACGCCTCACGCTGTCCGCGTTCTTCACACCTGCAGATTTGCTTCACACCTGCAAGCACCGACTGACCTTGTAGCCTCATTACCAACCGTGTCGACTCCCCTGCATTTCGCCATCTCCGACATGCTGAAGCCTTAGAGGGGGGCAGATCGCCATCTCCGAGGACTGCAGCCTATCAGGGGGGCAGATCGCCATGGCCGTGGGGCAGCAGCCTATCAGGGGGGCAGATCGCCATGGCCGTGGGGCAGCAGCCTATCAGGGGGGCAGATCGCCATCTCCCAGGTCCTGCAGCCGAACAGGGTGGGAGTTCTCAAAACCACCAAAATCATCCGGGTGCCAAAGAAGTCTACAGTGTCCTGTCTCAACGACTACGGGCCTGTGGATGGGGGCTGTGGATGGGGGCTCCCCCCCATCATCATGAAGTGCTTTGAGAGGCTGGTACTGAGGCATGTGAAAATACAACTGCCACAGAACCTGGACCCATTACAGTTTGCCTACCGCCCAAACCGCTCCATAGAAGATGCCATTTCGTCAGCCCTTCATCTGACCCTCTCCCATCTGGACAAAAAGGACACTTATGTCAGAATGCTGTTCATTGACTTCAGCTCAGCATTCAACACTGTCATTCCTCAGAAGCTGGTAAGCAAGTTAGACCTGCTGGGAATAAACGCCCCCCTCTGTAACTGGATGTTGGACTTCCTGACGGAAAGACCCCAATCTGTCTCCATAGGAAATAACACCTCCAAGGTCCTCAGACTGAGCACTGGTTCCCCACAAGGATGCGTGCTCAGCCCGCTGCTGTTCACTCTGCTGATTTACGACTGTGCTGCACGGTGCTGTTCAAACAAAATCATCAAGTCTGCAGATGACACAACAGTGGTGGGTCTCATCACCAACAACGATGAATCTGCGTACAGAGATGAGGTGAAACAACTGGTGGACTTGTGTCAGAGCAACAACTTGTCTCTCAATGTCAACAAGACCAAAGAGATGGTTGATAACTTCAGGATGAAGACGGCTGCACGCACACCACTGTACATCGATGGGTCCGCGGTTGAGATCGTCAGCAGCAACTGAAACTTGAGAGTGTGAATTGTAAGTGTTAACCAGTGTTAAATAGCTCATTTATGAAACTTCCACATGAGCCACAGCAATAGCAGCAGGGCTTCACCGCTTGAAAACAAACGATTATTTTGATGTATTTCACTGCTTTACATGGGAATTAATTCATATTAGCTAATATTCAATGAATACAGTATATTGAAAATGAGTAAAAAACATCATAGTTACGGCTTCAGTCCCTGTCATGTCTGATGGTCAAGAATGTGCACAGAGTTTTGTTGTGAAATTTTACTGCAACGTTGTAAAAATGTCAATTACAACACGTACTTATCCCAAAATAGCAACGTTGGTGTCCATGTTTTGGCAGGTTTTTTTTCCTTTATTACAACAATGATAAACAAGTACAAACAATAACATAAAATATACAATAACAACCGTACATTTTTAACACATTTTAAGTCTAGAGGGGATGTTCTCGTGTTAGTTGATGTGACAGATATTTATGTAGCAGTATGACATCTGCCTAGTGTCCCTAATCCTCTAATGCGTGTTCTAGGTAGTGAATACAATATAGTGATTGAATAAGTGGACATTTCAAACAGCCCCAGATCTCAGTAGCTGTATCACCGAATGACTGCAATAAATATGTTGTCGGTGCCTTGAGAAAGTAAAGAACTGGATGCAATCAAATTTTCTTCAGCTACTGTACATAAAACCCAACATCATTCTCTTTGGTAATAAAGACACACGGCTGCTGCTTAGTGTTTAACTTACACAAGGGGACTGAAGCTGAAAGCCATTGATGTGGATCCGCTTTCTTTAAATCTGCGATCTGGCATTTCAAAACAACAAAATTTAGAGACTGTTTCCAAGCTAAACTTGTGAAAGCTTATTCAGGCTTTTATTGGCTGTAGGGTGAACTACTGCAGTGCAGTTTGCAGTGGGGGGGACCGGGGGGGGGGGGACTCAACGAGATAAGCCTCTGTGCCTGTGATCAAAAGGTCACTGGTTTGAGTCTCAGCAGAAGTCACAGGTCTCTGGAGGAGAAGCTGCGCGCCAGCTGACCCAGGGCTGTGTATGTAAAATAGCAAGACAGAGTAGGTCAAGAGAAGCATTCCAATGTACAGTATCTGTATGTGTGCAAAAGGCAAAAAAAAAAATTTCAATAAGCCAATCAGAATGTCTCTCCAGCACCCCCAGTTTGCCTTGGAACCAATTGCATAAAATGCCTAGGGAGTCCCATGGCATACAACCCCCACACATTTTCCAAGAGAATTCACACAAAACCCTGACATTTCACATTGAACTGTAGTACAGACATACTTCATGAACTGCACTGCAAGATGCCGCATGACATTTACTGGCAGGTGGAATCTGCCACCATCTACAGGCAGTCAGAAGGTGCTGCATCCAAACTGATTACGCCTCAGCAATGGGTACAAACATAGAACGGCAAAATCCTGAGAAACAGAATGAATAACTATGGTATGGACACAGCTCTGTCTAAATACTTTACAGGCCAGCAAAACCCTGCGCACAGCAACCTGGTCATAAAAATAAACCAAATTTTCCAAAATTGTACAGTAGGAAAATTAAAACATATTTAGTAACAGTTAACAACAGAAAATGGCAGAATTCAGGACCCCCCCCCCCCCCCCCCCCCCCCCCCCCTTT